GCCTGCCACGTTTTTGCAGTCTGTGCGAACCCTGGTGACATGCACTTTGGTCTAGTCCTGTTTCAAAGAGGACCAAATCAAAGCACATTAACAAACTGTTACCAGGCAGCAGCAGGGTCCATGTAGTCAGTTAGTTCACAGCAGGCTAGTGTGGTGGAGATTCACTCTAGAGCTCTGACCAGGACTATTTTTTTAAACCTGCTCTCGTATCCACTCCCACCTGATCCCACTTTGTTTCTTGTATTTTTATCCCGCTCCCACTCACAAAAACCTTAGATCCCGCAAATCCTGCAAGAGAGAGATTCCCTCATGCTACAAAAAAAAAAAATAACCCAACCAAACAAAAAAAAGTTTTTTTATTATATATTAGGGCTGTGTAACAATTAAAAAAATTAATTGTGAGATTAATCGCACTGTTAATAGAATACCATTTATTTAAATATTTTGGGATGTTTTCTACATTTTCAAATATATTGATTTCAATTACAACACAGAATACAAAGTGTACAGTGCTCACTTTATATTTATTTTTTAATACAAATATTTGCACTGTAAAAAAACAAAATAAATAGTATTTTTCAATTCACCTAAATACTGTAGTGCAATCTCTTTATTGTCAAAGTTGAACTTACAAATGTAGATTTATGTACAAAAAATAACTGCATTCAAAAATAAAAATGTAAAAAACTTTAGAGCCTACAAGTCCACTCAGTCCTACTTCAGCCAATTGCTCAAACAAATTAGGTTACAATTTGTAGGAGATAATACTGCCCACTTCTTGTTTACAATGTCACCTGAAAGTGAGAACAGGCGTTCGCATGGCACTGCTGTAGCCAGCGTTGCAAGACATTTACGTGCCAGATGCACTTAAGATTCATATGTCCCTTCATGCTTCAACCACCATTCCAGAGGACATGCGTCCATGCTAATGATGGGTTCTGCTCGATAACGATCCAAAGCAGCGCGGACCAACGCATGCTCATTTTCAGCATCTGACTCAGATGCCACCAGCAAAAGGTTGATTTTCTTTTTTGGTGGTTTGGGTTCTGTAGTTTCCACATCTGAGTGTTGCTCTTTTAAGACTTCTGAAAGCAATACTCCACACTTTGTCCCTCTCAGATTTAGGAAGGCACTTCAGATTCTTAAATCTTGGGTTGAGTGCTGTAGCTATTTTTAGAAATCTCACATTGGTACCTTTCTTTGCGTTTTGTCAACTCTGCTATGAAAGTGTTCTTAAAACAAACATGTGCTGGCTCAAGTGTCAGAGGGGTAGCTGTGTTAGTCTGAATCTGTAAAAAGCAACAGAGGGTCCTGTGGCACCTTCAGACTTGCATCTGAAGAAGTGAGGTTCTTACCCACGAAAGCTTCTGTTAGTCTTAAAGGTGCCACAGGACCCTCTGTTGCTATGTGCTGGGTCATCATCCAAGACTGCTATAACATGAAATATATGGCAGAATGCAGGTAAAACAGAACAGGAGACATACAATTCTCCCTCAAAGAGTTCAGTCCAATGTTCCCTCTAATTTTTTCCATCCACGTGCAGAATAAATTTTGTTATGTGCACCAAGGTATGTGCGGATGTGTGCCACCAATAAAAACAAAAAACCTAGATATCATATATATATTTTTTAAAAGTTACCATGGAGATAATTACTTGAGCCAGGACAGGTTAGGCAATTTAGAACTCACTACTCAAAGAATTAAATTTAAGTGTAAGAGAAATAAAAATTATGAAATGCATAGACCAGTCAAAAAACTCAAATAACACACTTTGAAAGAATAAAATTACAGAGAATGAATGTGCATTGCAGGAAGTACCAAGAAGTAACAGCAACAATACAAATATGTGCTGGAAGGTGAGTGACACAGAGACAGTGTGTGTATGTGAGAGTGACACAGACAGTGTATGTGCTGGCTGCTGGGGAAGTTTCTGAGCGATGCCATGAGCTGTCTCTTTAAGGTATTCACTGAAAGCTCTCCTGCTCTGTCCTAAGCCTTGTCTCCCCTCCCCAGTTCTGCAGAGATGGGGTACATGGGCAGGAGGAAGTGGGACAGGGAGGGAGAGTGCAAGCGGGGCTGGGGAAGTCTCAGACTGTGTGCTGTCACTTTAAGGCACTTTCTGGGAAGGGAAGGCTTCAAGGCTCGTTCAGACCTCAGACCACAGCAGCTCTCCTGCAGAGTCCTGAACAGGGGTGTAAGTGGGCCTGTACGGTGTATCGATAAGAAGCCGATACCGGCCACTGCAGCACTTTAACGTCACTGCCCCTTTTGCCTCCCCGTCGGCAGCACTGCTGGTAGAGTCCCTGCCCGCACGGCCGCCCACGGGGGGAGGGGCAGTGACATTACAGCACTACTGCGGCAGCGGCCGGAGCCCCGAGCCCTTTTAAATGGCTGCCGGAGCCCCAGGGGCCAGGAAGCACAGATGGGCTGGCTGGGGGAGGCTGACCCCCAGCCCCGCCCCTTCTGCCCAGGCCCTGCCACTTCTGAGGGCCGGAGCTGGCCCCCATACTGGTAAGAATTTAATATTACTTTCACCTCTGGTCCTGAGCCAGGATGTCCCCTCTCCCCTGCTCTGTGGAGATGGGGTACAGGGGCAGGTAGAAGGGACACCCTGACATCAGCACCCCTCCACCCCGCGCTCTGCACAGCCAGAAGGAGGATCCTGGGAGCAACTTGGCTGCAAAGCAATGGGGTGAGGGGCACCTGAACACACTCTGCCGGATGTGCGTTGCACTTGAATCCCTCCTGGGCAGCTGCCCAACAGCTCTTAGAGGGAACACAGGTTCAGTCACATATTTAACGCATTTTTTTTTTTTAAACGAGCATCAGCAGCATGGAAACATGTCCTCTGGAATGGTGGCCAAAGTATGAAGGGGCATATGAATGTTTAGTATATCTGGCATGTAAATACCTTGCAACGCCAGCTACAAAAAGTGCCATGCAAATGCCTGGTCTCACTTTCAGGTGACATTGTAAGTAAGAAGTGGGCAGCATTATCTCCCGTAAATGTAAACAAACTTGTTTGTCTTAGTGGTGGCTGAACATGAAGTAGGACTGAGTGGATTTGTAGGCTCTAAAGTTTTAGATTTTTTTTGTTACATAACTGTAATCGAAAACAAAACAATCTACATTTGTAAGTTACACTTTCACAATAAAGAGATTGCACTACAGTACTTGTATGAGGTGAATTGAAAAATACTATTTCTTACGCTTATCACTTTTACAGTACAAATATTTGTAATCAAAAATAATAATATAAAATGAGCACTGTACACTTTGTATTCTGTGTTGTAATAGAAATCAATATATTTGAAAATATAGAAAAACATCCAAAAATATTTAATAAATTTCAATTGGTATTCTATTGCTTAACAGTGTGAGTAATCGCAATTAATTTTTTGAGTTAATCGTGTGAGTTAATTGCGATTAAATCGACAGCCCTAATATATATATAAACAAACAGAATTGAGACATATTTTTACCACTAAAAGAATAGAATAAATCTTGCTTAAACCACGTAAAAAAAGACTTTAGCTCCTGTTATAATAGACATCACATCTTTTTCTATCCCTCGCTTACATTTAAGTGACCCTTTACTTCCTTCTCATCAGAGCAATTCCCACCCCTGCTGGGGGAGGGGGAATGGCTCCCTTCAGAGCCCCTCAATACTGATTTCATTGGCTGTCACAAAGGGAAGCCTGATCAGCCTTTGCAGCACTTCTAGTGAGAAGGCAAGCTGGGATCATATGAGTTCCACATCTGCACACCCATCATTTCGCTCCCAGGAGCACTACAATGGGTAGTCACTGGCCTCTGGAACATCCATCCTGATGGGGAAAGGAGGATGCTGTTCAGAGATTCTACAGATGCAGTGACTCAAGATCTCCCTCGCACTTAGACCAATGACTGTTTTGATTGGGTAGCCCAGATTCATCCTGAGACTAAGACATAAGTGATGCCAGGCTTGATTTAGAGAGGACCACCTTCTCTAGCCATAAAGGCCAATGTAGCATTTCCTTAATCTTAGAAAAAAAAAAGAAAAAAAAAAAGTGGCCAACAGAGGGGAACCATTATTTGCTACCAAATACAAACAGATTCGGAAGGGTGTAGGAAGGAAAGTAGGATTCAGTTGGGGGGAAGAGGACAAACCCCACTCCACCAAAAAAAACAAACAAAAAACCCCCCACACAAAATGCAATGAGACATTTAGATGGTAAGAACACATTATTTAATGTCTGTAGCCTTTACAAATATTCCTGAGCCCTGACACCTTTCAGGGAGCCAAAAGACGGTGTGTTCCTTAGGTTAGGCATGATAAGATACAGACTCAGTAAACAGACTTCAGAGCTCCTGTAGAGACTTGATGTCATCACGCACGCCTTCATAGGCATATTCTGTACCAAATACTTATGGCTTCAGAGTGAGATGGCTCGGCTAGGATCTAGGGTCAGAGGATCTGGCATGAAGCCGACAGCAGCCACTGCGAACTAGGAAGTACCATGTGTGCAGCACTACAGAAGCAATTGGGGGAAGGTAGCAGCAGCAGGAGTTGGGGGTGGCGATTACTGGTGCTATTCAGTTCAATAAGGGAAGGGTTTCCTGTCCTGGATCACTACCAGTATTTGCCGCAGAGACCAATGGCTACACACAATTTACAGCGCCAAGAATACTGCAGAAATTTGCAGGAGCACCACAGCATGAGGGGAGCCATCTTCGCAATGTACTAACGTAGCAGGAGTTCATGGGCAGATTAAACATTCTCTGTGTGACTAGAAAAAGCTGCACCACCCGTGCCCCCATAGCCCATTCCAGGACAGCCATAGTGCTCATCTGATCAGAAGGCAAATGGTGTTGCAAATGCACACTCCCCCCTTAGAGAGCAATGGTAAGCTCTAGTAAGGTCTCTTCAAGGCTTTAGTAGTGACAGTGTCACTTCCCTTTCCCAGATCTCTGCAAACTGGTCCTACGGACACCCACTCCCCTGCAAAATGCTTTAAAATAGATTTAAAACAGCTTTGACATTCCCCATCGGCTTGGAGCATGGCTGACAGCGCTGCAAAGATGTGGCCAACGAGAGTCCAGCCTTAGAAACATGCTCAGGATGTCCTGTCCAAGATCTGCTGGGCGATGTGAGCAAGGGCAGGGAAGGCAGAGCTCTTGGGAAACTCCTGGATGAAATCTCTGCCTTCCTCCAAGCTCTGAGTGAGCTGGGGATCAAGGGGAACACACCCTGTGTGAGAGGGCAAAGGGAGAGAATGACTGTGAGACCACTGGGACGAGTTACAGAGATGAGAGTTACACATGCAAGTCAGAGAGACAAAGGTGGGAGTGAGACACCCACATCAACCAAAGAAGAGACAAAATGATAAGACAAACAGGACTGAGCATTATTAACCTCCTTACTGCTCACTTGCAAGACTACGTTCTAGACATGTGGCACCATACCAGACATTTTCTGGGTAGAAAGGAGCTATAAGTGCTTCTAGCACCACAATCAGCAGAGATTTACCCTGGCATCACTGTCAAGACTATGGCTCCTTGATTAGGGGGAGGAATAAATAATTAAGGAGGTTTAAATAAATTCCTCATTTCTCTCACAAGAGCTCCACTGGACTCTCAGTGGTGCTGCCTGTGTTTGCCATTACCTGACGGCAGGAAACTAGGATCGCTCCAAATCTCCCACCATATCCAAAGCCAGACTGGACTGTCAGGTTCTCTGCCTCTGTTCTCTACTGGCCAGACATACAATGACCACATCCTTTTGGCAGCTCTATGCTCCTCTCCCAAACCAGACTCTCTTCAGACCTCAACTGGAGATGCCCCTCCTTAGCCTGCCCCTCAGACCTCAACTGGTTTCTGGACCTCATTCCATGTTCCTTGTGGCACTGTGTTCTCACCACTCACCAACCATTTGCTCTTCTGATCTACCCCTCCCATTAGGGAGGGCTCTGTATTCAAAAGGCACTTACCTAGGAATGGGACTCCAGCATGCCTGGCCAGCTCTTCACCACCCCCTTTGGAAAAGAGGTTTGTGCACTCCTGGAAGAGCAGAAGAAACAGCATTTAGTCACCAGGAACTTCCCAAAGCAGCAGTTCTGCAGACCGCCGGGCATCACAGATGGGCAACATGACTGTTTATCTGGGTACATTTAATGCAGAGAATGATACAGTTATCTGAGCAAGCAACGCTCATTTGCCTCTGGCAGCTGCTGATCCCCCCACTTCATGCACTTCCTCAGACATTCTTACCCCTCATCACCCAGTAGGAAGACAAAAGAGTTGCCTCTCCTGAACCTACCCCAACAGCCAGCCAATGAAGGACGGCAGGGTCCACAAAGCGGTACAGTCAGCCGCTCGCCTCCAGAGACCTACCACATTACCTTCATGGCATTCCCTGGTCTCTCAGCAGCCAAGGGACCACAGTCAAGAAAAGTCAATTCAAACCCAGGCCTCAAGCACAACAATGTAGCAGATTGCCTAGCACCCCTTTGAGGCAGGGGGGTTCTCAGCCGTGGGTCAGTTTTAAAGGGCTCACCAAACAGTGCGGGCAGACGAAACCACTCATGTTCTCTACAATCCCGATCACTCGCAATCCTGTCTTCTTACAGAACGTCAGCTCTCGCCTGACATCCCCTATAGACACCGCCTGTGGGCACAGAGTCATGGGGTATCACTGATAAAGGGCCAGCAAAATCAGAGAGGTGCATGTCTGTCTTTCTGCCCATTCATCCAGTGCTGCCAATCCTTGAGATTAGGGCAGGGTACACAGACACAGGTTGGAGGGATGAAGGGAGTAGAAATGCAGAACTAATAGCCATAAAGAGACACTGACACTCATACAGGGTCATGTAAACACAAACCTAAAGGCATAATGGGGTCGATAAAAATATTAGTTTGGTGTGACCCCAGGGCAGGGTGTGGAAACATCTGCCCCAGCAAGCATTACATACCTGTGGCGTCGTGACCAGGACTGCCCCGAGAGGCTTATATGGGCGAAGGGATTCTACCGTAGAGATGTGCTCATCCGTGGTCCCCGGAGGCGTATCCACAATGAGGAAGTCGAGATCTCCCCAGGTCACGTCGGAGATAAATTGCTTTATCAAAGCTGCCAAAACAAAATGGAGGAAAATCTTTGCTTTCAGCTGAGGTGTGGTCTGTAATCTCAACAGTGTGGTAGCAGCAGGTGTTAGATATCATATCACCACACTGTGTGAACAGATAGGTGCAAAAGAATAGACTTAAGTAGGAAGAGAAGCCCTCCATCAACAGAAGCAGTGGCAGTGCCATCTTCCCTCAGGGTCTCTATCCTGCCCTACAGGGAATGCATCTAGGTGGCAAGAGGATAGTTCAGTCTCCAAGGCCATTGAGATTCTGTTCTGTGTGCCAACAATAGCGAGCATTATAGACGCCTGTCCAGAGAACACAGGACAGATCTACCAGCTCATTCCCCAGGGCTGGTTTACACTACACAGTTAGATCGACATAAGGCAGCTTATGTCGACCTAATTTTCACACTAGAGCCGTGCTCCTGCCGATGTAAGAGCCCCATTACACCAACATAATAGCTTCACCTCCACAAGAGGCGTAAGGCTTATATCAGTGTAGTTTAGGGCAATGCAGTGTCTGTGTAGACACTGCGTCCCTTACATTGGCTGTCTTGTCAATTTCACGGCAGGAGCCATGCTCCTGGCGAGGAGTTGAGGTAAAAAGCCCAGGGCGGCTTCGGACCCCGATCCCAGCTGGGAGCCAGGGGAAGAAGCTAGCGGGGAAGGGGAGCTTCAGATGATGACCAGGCCTAGATTGAAAGCAACAACCTAGAGGTCAAAGGCTACCTACATCTAGTCTGTTATCCAGCCCTAGTTCGCCTGCTCAAACATAGCAAGAACTACAGACTGCAACCCATGCCTAAGCACAAGGGGATAATGAGCCATATGCAAGACAAGACCAGCCTGTAAGTAAGGCAAGGATGTATTTCAACGAGTTTCATCTTTGCAGGAGGTGCCCTTGCTGTAGGACAGTGGTCCCCAAACTGTGGGGTGTGCCCCCCCCGGGGGGGGGCCTGGAGCCCCGTTCCACCCCCAGCCACAGCTCCACTCTGCCCCCTGCTCCGCCCCCAGCCCAGCTCTGGTCCCAGCTGCAGCTCCACCCTGCCCCCAGGCCAGCTCCACCTCTTGCCCCAGCTTTCTCCTCCCATCTCCCACCAAGTTCTGCCCCCAGTTCTGCTTCAGCCCAAGCCCCTTTCACTGAGGATGGAAGCCTTGGCCGTGCAGTAATGGAGAGGGGGCACAACAGGAAATGTTTGGGCACCATTGCTGTAAGGTCACTACCAAGAGTAAAAGCATTCTGTACCGTTTTTCTTGGGTCCTCTCCAAACCACAGCATCGTCTGGCTTCTCCAGCAAGAAGCCAATCGACATGAGAGAGATGCTTTTGTCCTGGTCGACGAAGACAGGCACCCAGCCACTGTCACACTGGTGCACGCCCTTGCCCTGGACTTTGAGCATTTGAGGGATGCTGGGGCCACATAGGTCCACATCCAGGATCCCCACCTGCCAGTGATACAGGGAACCATTCAGACAATCCCTTACACTAAGACAGCACAGAGGGCCACCACAGTGGCAAAACATAACTCTTCACTGATTTCTACAGCCCAGACCTTATGGAAAGGATGGCTTAGAAGCCTACACATCATATTTGAAATACACACGAACCACATGTTCAAATCCCAGATGAGTTCACACAGCCCTTCACCTTTCCAAGGGAGATCAGTGTGTCGTCACTGAACTTCTGGACAGAGATCTTTCAAATGAGACCTTAAAAACCATGGCCCATCTGCTCTGCAGGACTTCAAAGAGCCTTTGGGGCATTTTGTTTGCCCTGTTTGTTTACTCAGCCACAATTCCCCACTGCCACTATTGTTGTGCTGAGTGGCTGTCCCTCCTTCCACCCGCCCGCCCTCCCCCCCCCGCAAGAGGCCACATTTTAGTTAGTGTGTGTGTGTGTGTGTGTGTGTGTGTGTATTAAGTGCTTTGAGAGCCTTTGCCACAATGTAAATTGTAAACATTCATATAGCTCATGTCCTGCTTATATGCACAGGAGGGCCCCTCCCTGTTCCAAGTCATTCTCTCTACCTTTCCATAGGCAAAGCTCAGTGTCCTCTCAGACCCCTAGAAACCTTTAGAGGGATTTTGCCTCCCCTTTCTTTTTCCTACTCATACTCATGCCCTATAACTCGGCATTGCCCACACAATAGCTGCCCTGAAGCAGGACAGGCAAGACAACAGGAGGCCTTGGAGAGCAATGACAGCAAAGGTCAAGGACCCAATCCTCATGGTCTCCATCCACACAGCAAGTGTGAGACTATCCCAGTAGCTTTTAACAAAGAGCATAGTATATCAAAGCCTGCCAAGCCCTGGGCAGACATTACTTAGGAAAGGGAGGCAACATAGCCTAGCGATTCCATTGAGGTCCAGGTGTCAAGGAACCTGAGTTGTTTTTGGTTTTTTAATAGACTATCAGGGTTGGCAGGGACCTCAGGAGATCATCTAGTCCAACCCCCTGCTCAAAGCAGGACCAATCTCCAGACAGATTTTTGCCCCAGATCCCTAAATGGCCCCCTCAAGGATTGAACTCACAACCCTGGGTTTAGCAGGCCAATGCTCAAACGACTGGGCTATCTACTCTTGGCTCTTCCACTGTCTCACTGTGTGACTTTAGACAAGTCACTTCCCCACTCTGTGCCTATTTCCCTATTAGCATAATGTGGACAATTATAATGAACAAGTTTTGCACAGCGCTTTCATAATATTTTGCACATCTATAGCATCTTTATCGGAGGACCTTAAAGCTGGACTTTGCAGCTTTTTTGGTCAAATAAATGCAGAAAAATCAGAAATCGTATAGTAAAAATTACTTGCTCAATCTCAGCAGCATGTGCTTGAAGGATCTTAATGACTAAATAAAAAATGCTACAAGATGCTTAATACCTAGATTATGAGGATAAAACCCCAGACTAGAATCTTGGGTGCACATGGGGAAGGAGAATACACTCATGACTGACACATGGAAGCTTGCTCACCTTCTTCCCAGCGTGCCGTAAAGCCAAAGCCAGTTCGGTGGAGACAGTGCTTTTTCCCACGCCTCCTTTTCCTGAGAGCACCAGAAGGATGTGTCCAATCCCAGCCAGGTTACCTCTCTCTGTGAAGGACAACGGAACAACACTGAGGCATCCCTGCACCTCTACACAGCATCATGCTGCACTGAGGATGTATGAATAGCAATGCCATAGGCAGCCAGCTGAGTGACTCCTCACATTTTACAGCTAGGAGATCATTCCCACTAAAGGAGCTATCACCATGTAACGTACAGAAAAGACATTTTGGCTAAGGTGTTGCAGAGTGTTTAAAAATAGTGGGGCAACCTGAGTCAAAATGTGATGGTGGATTTTGAGTAGACAATTATCTACTAGGAACACGGCTGTGACTCATCAGCTCAACATACAGCCATTGGGTGGTAAGGACTTTAGCTCTGATTCAGCAAAGCACTTAAACTGACCTCAGTGGGACTTAGGCACATGCTTAAATGCTTTTGTCACTACTGCTCTGGGCCAGATTGCAATTTGGGACCTAGTGAAATGCTCTGGGCCTTCCCTCTTCTCAGCCGTCAGTCCCCTGGGAGTTTCCTCCTTTCTGTGCTGTGTAGATCTTGTTTTTCTCGATGTGTCAGTGTCTTGTTTTAAATTTTCTTCAGTTTGCTTGCTGCACAGTCAGTGTTTGCTCTGGTCTAAACAACTTCTGTTTATGACTCATACACAGTGTGCTTTCAGTCCCCAGGGAAGGGCTGTGAACACATTCTTCTGAGATTCTTTAAATGGAATATAGGTAGAGGGCCTCAAGGGGTACTGGGAGAGGTGGGAGAAAATCTGAAATCTGTGATCTAAAGATCCATCTAGAGACAAGAACTACACAGCTCTAAAAGCAAGAAAAATTCAAAATGGAGATAAATCCCTTGAAAGCCCCAGCAGACCTGCATTAACACACTCATTTCACTACTGTAATGACACCGGGGGAAATTACACCTTTGAACCATCCCGAGACTGAAGTTCTGTACTGAGTCACAGCACAGATAAGTGGCAGTGCGAGATTCCTCACCAATGGAATTCAACTTTGACCCAAGGGGACCAGCTTTATGCATGAGGGAGGAGGAGGATGGGTATTGTTACAAGTTTCTGGAGCTCCGAGCAAATGACGCTGCCTCATGGCAAATTAGGGATCTTGGTTAGTTTCTGAACTCACGTGCTATATTTGGCAGAGGGCTGGAACTTGCTGTACCTCCAGGACCAAAGATCACTGACAATTTTAAGGACCAATGTCTCATGAACCACCAGAAACAAAGCTTATACACCACAGGTTTTCAATAAACCCATCTTTCCAAAGGCAGACAGAATTCATCTCTGGGATCTTGTGTTCCAGCAAAGGCCTTTACTGCTAAAAATCAAATCTGGATTGTTATGTGGGAGCAGGGGAAAGAAGCAAGGGATCAATGAGAGTAACATGCTTTTAAAGCAAGAGTGCCACCTAATTTTGTTTTAGGTATGTTTTGTTACTGATTGTTACTTTAAGTGTTTCATAAACAAAGTTAATATCAGCACCTCTGCTGCGATTTGCAAAACTGACACAACTTCCTGAAGATTTTTTCTAAGGCCCTAATTATAGCTAAACCATCTCCATGAATCTTTACATTATCTGTACTTCTGCACTAGTGGGACCAGGTGTCCAATGGAGAACTCCCTCACCTGACTCAGAGATAACAAAGGACTATTTGAATTCCAATGGCTCCTCACATTCCTGAATGGTCAGTAACACATCCTGGAAACCTTAAGGACTCAGACATAAAGGTAAACACAATCCTTATTAAGTCCAGGAAAAAACAGGAATAGCTAGGAATAGTTAACGTGAGTCATCAAGGAATTTCCCGAAGCTTCACATATCAAAGTGGGGCGTACCTCAGACACCAGGTTCCTTGAACCTGAACCATCAGAAGCAGCACTTGAGAGGAAGATGTGGTCTCCTGCTTCCGAGGGGTTTTCCAGTGTTTCAGGGAACATAAAATAGCAATCAAGGAAGAGGAAGACTCCATTTTACTGAAGAACAAGCTGAGTGAGAAAAACAGACTTCATCTTGAGATGGAGCCTGCTTTTACCATGGGAGAAGTAATCAGGAACTCAATCAAAGGTAACTCATAGCACAGATCTCTGCTCTCTTTCTCCTTTGTAATGAAAGGAAGAAATTGCAAGACGTTTCCATAGGTGTTTAATATCTAACATCCTTTTATGTAAGTTCTCTCTCTCCCTCTGTATACAGATGAATTGTCTGATTGTCGTATTGTTGGGGAGCATATTAGGTGGCATTTACAAGGGTAGCATTGTTATAGTTCTCTCAAAGGGGCCAAGGACAAGAGAAAGCAGTGAGTTCCAAAGGCTAGATCCACAAAAGGACATAACTGCCATTTTAGGTACCTAGAGCTAACATGTGGGAGGACTCTGAGATCCTCAAACCCTCTATTCAGCTGCTGTCTAATCCCATAGGTGCCTACATCCCTCCTGGGAGATGCACACAAAACCACTGCGGTCCTGACATCGCCAAGCTGCTCGGTGCTCTAGGTCATGCTTAAGCCCTGCCAAGGCTGATTCCCCACTCTGGCACTTCGAGTGCAGAAGGTGGGGGCCCGCAAGGATTCTAAAAATTAAAACTGGCCACTCCAGGCTTGTATTAAACTCCCAAGGTTACAACTTTTTTCTGACTTTGGATGGGTAGATGCTGCCACCACCCAAGTGCAAAAACCACTTTTTGAGAACCCAGAAAGGTGCACTTGGGAATTCCTTCCTCTGGGGTATCCTCAAGCCCTCTCTCCCCCCCCCCAGGAAGAGCTGAGAAAGAAAAACAAAGGAAATCAGCTGTTGCCACCAGCTAATTAAACAACATATGCACAAATCTCTTAGGACACAAAAATCCTAATCCTGTTCTTAAAAAAGGTAAATTTTATTAAAAACAAAAAGAAAGAAAATACATCTGGAACTTAGGCTATTGCTAGATTTAAAAAGAGCAAATATAATAATTAAGCATCAAGAATCATTTTCTTGAGGTCCAGCTTAATGGTTACATGCAAAACAAAAGCATTTGGGGGTTAGCACAGAGAAGTCCACAAGCCGTAAAGAAATAAGAGATATAAACCTAATCACATCTTCCTAGACATTTCCTGATCTACTTGCATATCTGGGGTTTCAAATGAGTAGTTTCTAGGTATGATTTAATGATTTTTCATACCTGGCGCAAGCTCTTACAGCATAGTCCAGCCCTGTCCCCGCTCTCCAGGAGACCCACCACAGACAGACAACTGGCTAGCTGGGCGTCCATAAAAGGGAGCTACCCCCCTACCCCCCACCACACACACACACACACACACACCTTCATTTATCACAAGCCCCAATGGAATTCACAAGCTAGGTGCCCTTCCCTCACATCTCACTTGCAGGGCCTGATCCAGCAGGTGTTCTCTGAAGCCCTCACACAAGAGACAGGTGGGTGGCATGCAGGAGAATGCCCAATAACCCAGTGGTCAGGACTCTCACCTGGGAAATGGCAATGACCTGAATTGGGATCACTCATATTCCAGGAAAGAGCCCATCCGCATGTGATGGGGTGTTCTGGGGCAGGTCTCCCACAGCCACTCCTGTTGGAACTGGACCACTTTGTTACAGAAATTGATTCTACAACCTAGTGGTTAGGTCACTCACCCAGGATGTGGGAGCCCCAAATTCCAATTCCTGCTCCAATGAACATTTAACGATTTATACAAAATGGAACAGTTCCAACCAGAGAGATTGAGAGAGACCCACCCCAAAACACGCAATAGCATGGGGGTCAATCCTCCCCAGGGATGGATGTCCAAATCGGGCAGAACGGATTTGAAAATGGGTCCCCCACCTTCCAAGTGCCCTAACCTCTGGGCTATTGGTTATAATGGGGTGACCATCAGTCTCCATCTCTCATGCACGTACACCTGAGTAAAACAGAGACAGGGGGCTGACCTGACTTAGAGCTTATCTATACTTGAAATGCTGCAGCGACACAGCCGTAACGCTATATTGTAGACACTACCTACACCGACGAAAGGGGTTCTCCCATCAGCGTATGTAACCCACCTCCTTTCTAGAGTACGCAATCCACCATATGTAATCTATTTCTTCCATCAACCTGTCTACATAGGGACTTAGGCTAGTTTAACTATGTCACTCAGCAATGTAGATTTTTGACACCCCTCGGGGACGTAGCTGGGTCCATCTAATTTTCTAGTGTAGACCAGCCCTTAGGTGCCTAAGTCCAGGAGCAGGATGCCAGCTGTGAATCCCAAGCAGAGATCTGTGCCTCCCTCTGGACCAGAGTAGGTACCTATTGATGTTTTGTTTACATCCCACCCCTTTGCTTGGCATTTTTGATTGGTTTATTTATTCAGCTTCAAGTTTAGCATGCTAAGCCCCATTCTGTCAGTCCTAGTCTTAGGGTACGTCTTCACTACCCGCCGTAGTGCCCGGCGGGTAGCAATCCATTTATCCGGGATCGATATATCACGTCTCGTTAAGACACGATATATCGATCCCAGAACATGCTCACCGTTGACTCCGGAACTCCACCAGAGAGAGCGGCGGTAGCGCAGTCGACGGGGGAGCCGCGGCCGTCGATCCCGCTCCGTGTGGACCCCAGGTAATTCGATCTAAGATACTTCGACTTCAGCTACGCTATTCGCGTAGCTGAAGTTGCGTATCTTAGATCGATTCCCGCCCCCCCCAGCGTAGACCAGCCCTTAGGTGCTTAACTCTCCCCATGCCTGGGAGCCTAACTCTGGGCTGAGGATTCCACTGGGCAACAGGACGCCTAAAGGTTAGGTACTGCAATGCTCAATGTTGCAACATCTAAGCCCTTTTGTGGATTTAACCCCAAGTTGTTGGTCACAGGAGAAGAGAAAATGTAACAGGAATAGGACTGAGCTACAAATTCTTGGCAGTTTCATCAGTTTCTGCAAAGTCCATGTGGTAGGCTTGAGCAAGATACTCTTCCACATGGGAACTGGTACTGTGCTGTTTTAAGCAACAGAGGGTCCTGTGGCACCTTTAAGACTAACAGAAGTATTGGGAGCAT